GGGGGTTTTATCCCCTCCCGGGGGTCTCAGAGCCCCCCCTGAGCCCCCCCCCGGGCCGTGCCCCCCCCCAGGTGAGCCAATGGTACGAGCTGGTGGTGTTCACAGCCAGCATGGAGATCTACGGCTGCGCGGTGGCCGACAAGCTGGACAACAACCGCAGCATCCTCAACAGGCGCTACTACAGACAGGTGGGCGGGGCCTGAGGGGGCGGGGCCTGGGGTGGGGCGGGGCCGGGAGGGGGGGCTGACCCCAGCATCCTTCATAGGGGCTGCTACAGGAGGTGGGCGGGGCCTAAAGGGGGCGGGGCTTAAAGGAGGGCCAACCGCAGCATCTTCAATAGGCGCTGCTAAGGATGGGTGGGTGGGGCTGAAAGGGGGCGGGGCTGAAAGGGGCGGGGCCTAAAGGAGGGCCCACCTCGGTATTGTCAATAGGCACTACTAGAAAAGGGGGGGCGGGGCCTAAAGCTGTGGGCGGGGCCTAAAGGGGCGGGGCTTAAAAGAGGGCCAACCGCAGCATCTTCAATAGGCGCTGCTAAGGGTGGGAGGGCGGGGTCTAAAGGTGTGGGCGGGGCTTAAAGGGGCGGGGTGTAAAGGAGGGCCAACTGCAGCATTCTTAATAGGTGCTACTGTAAGAAGGTGGGCGGGGCTTAAAGGGGGCGGGGCTTAAAGGAGAGCCAACCGCGGCATCTTGAATAGGCGCTGCTAAGGATGGGTGGGCGGGGCCCAAAGGGGGCGGGGCTGAAAAGGGGCGGGGCCTAAAGGAGGGCCCACTGCAGCATCCCTAGTTGGCGCTACTACAGGCATCTGGGCGGGGCCTAAAGGGGGCGGAGCCCCAAGGGGGCGGGGCTAGAGGCAGTGTGGACGTGTCCTATTGGCCAGCGCCGCCAGTGCTGTGCTCTCTCCTCTCCCCCCATTGGCTGTGAGCGCTTTGGGCCGTAGCTGAGGTGGAGGAGGGGGGCGTGGCCATTCTCTCGAGGGCGTGGCCACACTCGAGAGAGGGGGGCGTGTCTAACGTTGGCCCCGCCCCCAGCACTGCACGTTGGAGCTGGGCAGTTACATTAAGGACCTGTCGGTGGTTCACGGGGACCTTTCCAGCATCGTCATCCTCGACAACTCGCCCGGCGCCTACCGCAGCCATCCGGGTACGGACCCCCCCATGACCCCCCCCTTATATCCCCCATCCCCTAAACCAGCCCCCCCTCGCCCCCCCAGCCCTTCACGGACCCCTTTGTGCCCCATAGATAACGCCATCCCCATCAAGTCGTGGTTCAGCGACCCCAGCGACACGGCGCTGCTCAACCTGCTGCCCATGCTGGATGCACTCAGGTGGGGAGGGGCTGAAAGCAAACTGGGGGTGAGAGAAATAGGG